CACAAAAACCCCCAGAAATTTCTGGGATCTGACAGATTCTCAGCTGAATTCTATCAGGCCTTTAAAGAAGAAATAATTCCAACATTCCTTAAACTTTTCCACAAAATAGAAAGGGAAGGAACACTGCCTAACTCATTCTATGAAGCCAGCATTACACTCATCCCAAAACTGGACAAGGACAGATCCAAAAAGGAGAACGTATAGGCCGATCTTCATAATGAACATTGATGCAAAAATCCTCAATAAAATAACGGCAAACTGATACAACAACTTATCAGAAAGATCATTACCACGACCAAGTCAGCTTCTTCCCAGGGATGCAGAGGTGGTTCAACACATGCAAATCAATAAATGTAATATGGTACATTAATAGAAACAAAGAAAAAAACCACTTGATCATCTAAATAGATGCAGAAAAAGCCTTTGATAAAATTTGACACCACTTCATGATAAAAGCTCTAAGAAAATTAGGAATAGAAGTAATGTACCTCAACATTATAAAGACTATATATGACAAACGTATAGCCAACATCATACTTAATGGAGAAAAACTGAAAACATTTCCTCTTAAATCAGGAACAAGACAAGGGTGCCCACTCTCCCATTCCTACTCAACACAATCCTGGAAATCTTAGCTAGAGTAATAAGGCACGAAGAAGTAATAAAGGAATACAAATAGGAAATAAACTGTGAAAGTATCCATATTTGCAGACGACATGATCCTATACCTCAAAGACCCAAAAAACTCTACCCAAAAACTGCTAGACACCATAAACAGCTTCAGCAATGTAGCAGGATACAAAATAACTTACAAAAATCAGTGGCCTTTCTATACGCCAACAATGAACAAATTGAGAAAGAATATATGAAAACAATTCCATTTACAGTAGCTTCAAAAAAAAAAAAAACCTAAGAGTAAACTTAGCAAAGGACGTAAATGACCTCTACAAGGAGAACTATAAACCTTTGAAGAAAGAGATCTAAGACTACAGAAGGTGGAAAGATCTCCCATGCTCATGGATTGGTAGAATCAACATAGTAAAAAATGGCTATACTACCAAAAGTAATCTATGTGTTCAATGCAATTCCCATCAAAATCCCAATGACATTCATCACAGAGATTGAAAAATCTACCTTAGAGTTCATTTGGAAACACATGAGACCATGAACAGCCAAGGCAATACTCAGCAAAAAGAGCAAGACTGGAGGTACCACAATTCCCAAACTCAAACTATACTGCACAGCCATACCAATAAAAACGGCATGGTACTGGCACAAAAACAGCTATGAAGACCAGTGGAACAGCATAGAGGACCTGGATATGAATCCACACAGCTATGCCCACTTTATTTTTGACAAAGGTGCAAACACATACAATGGAGAATTGACAGCTTCTTCAACAAATGTTGCTGGGAAAAGTGGTTATCTGCCTGCAGAAAACTGAAACTAGATCCATGCCTATCACCCTGTACTACTATCAACTCAAAGTGTATTAAGGACCTTGATATCAGACCCAAAACTCTGTAGTTAGTACAGGAAAGAGCAGGGAATACTCTGGAAGCAATAAGTATAGACAGAGAATTCCTCAGTAGAACTCCAGCAACCCAGCAACTAAGAGAAAGGATGGACAAATGGGACTACATAAAATTAAAAAGCTTCTGCACAACAAAAGAAACAGTCTCTAAACTGAAGAGACCACCCTCAGAGTGGGAGAATATGTCTGCTGACTATACATCAGACTGATAACCAGAGTATACAGGGAGCAAAGAAAACTAAACTCCCCCCAAATCAATGAAGCAATAAAGAAATGGGCAACTGAACTAAATAGAACTCTTACAAAGGAAGAAATCCAAATGGTCAAAAAACACATGAAAAAATGCTCACCATCCCTGGCCATAAAGGAAATGCAAATCAAAACCACACTAAGATTCCACCTTTCTCATGTTAGAATAGCCATCATCAAAAACACTACCAACAAATGTCAGCAAGGATGTGGGGGAGAAAGAAACCTTCATACACTGCTGGTGGGAATGTAAACTAGTACAACCACTTCAGAAAACAATATGGAGGCTTCTTAAGAACTAAACATAAATCTGTCAGATGATCCAGCAATCCCATTCCTAGGGATATACCCAAAGGAATGTAACTCAGGTTATTCCAAAGGCACCTGCACACCCATTTTTGTTGCAACACTATTCATGATGGCCAAGTTATGGAAATAGCCAAGATGCCCCACTACCGACAAATGGATTAAGAAAATGTGGTATTTATAAACAATGGAATTTTACTCAGCCACAAAGAGGAATGAAATTTTGTCATTTGCAAGTAATGGATGGACCTGGAGAACATCATCTTAAGTGAAGTTAGCTAGGCTCAGAGGGCCAAAAATTGCATGTTCTCCCTCATATGCAGATTATGCACTTATTAAAACAAGTGCAGTAATATTATTGAACAAGGGTCACACACTAAGGGGAGAATGTGCATGGAAGGAATAGAAAAAGGAAACTTGAATGTGGTTGATGTGCTTACTGTAGAGGTGCGAATAAAGTAACCTTAAACTGGCAGAGGCCACTATGGTTAGGTGACTGGGAAGTAGTGAAGAGGTCTGGCAGAGATAAACCAATCTGGGTTGCAATACACAAGTGCATGGAAGCAATGTTAGGAATCTCTCTGTGTAGCTATCTTTATCTCAAACTAGCAAAAATGCTATGTTTTTCTTATTATGTCTTATGTTTTCTGTTGAACAAAATCGGAGAAGAAGAGGGGGAACAGCTTCTGTCAGGAAGCAGGAGTGAGGATAGGAGTGAGGGTGGGGGAGGTGACCCAAATGATGTATATACATGTAGGTAAATGTAAAAATGATAAAATAAAAGAAAGAAGAAAAAAGTAAAGAAAATGTGGTATGTATACACAATGGAATTTTATTCAGCCATAAAGAAGAATGAAATAATGTTGTTTTCAGGTTAATGGATGGAACCAGAAAACTTTATGTTAAATGAAGTAAGCCAGGTGCAAAAAGTGAAAGGTCACATGCTTTCCCTCATGTGTGGAAGCTAGACCTATAAGTTAAATGCATGTCTAGATATATATATAATCGTATACAAAATTATATTATTGAGTCCATCTGAGAGGGCTATGGGAGGTGAGAGAGATAAAGAAAATGTTAGAGAATGAAAAATGTTGAAAAAACCCATTTATATATGAGTATAATATAATGTATGATACAGTAAGCTATCAGATATTAAAGAAGTATGGTGATAGAGAATGAGCAAGTAATGGGAGGGAGGGTGTTAATTAGATAATGCATGATATACACAACCTGAAATACCGAGGCAAAACCCCCTTGGACTATCAATATATACTTAACCAAAAAAGAAATGAAGGGCAAGAGGGAAAACAAATCTCTTCTTGGGAGAGGGGTGGGCACAAGGAAAGGGGGAATGTGGGTACATGTGGTGGATGTATTTTATATCCACATATGAAAAAATAGAAGAATGAAACCTGTTGGAATTGTTGTAAGAAGTGGGGAGAGGGAAAGAGGGAGAACAACGGAGGGGGTAAATCCAACTAAGATATATTTTAAACATATATATAAATATCACAGTGTATTCCCCTATATTATAATTATGTGCTAATAAAATCATTAAAAAGAAGCTGCATTGTCATTTAACATTCCAATAATGCATGCACTGTTGCAGTGGATCACATTTGCTATTTAATTACAATGTCAAAGGAGGACTCACACTGACAGACAGAACTGCTCTATTTAGTATTTTCATAGCTGCGCAGTAATCAGCCAGATGCTTGCAGTGGTTCCAAAAACACTTGTGATTGCTGTCATAGACCCATAGCTCCCTGTTGCCACTCCCTATATAGAGATAGGAAAATACATTAAAAATTTATATAACTAAAAGATTTAGTAACCAAAAAGTCAGATTAGAATGAACTAATAGTTCCATATACTATTTGTGCTATCTGATCTACAATTTCTGTCTCTTGCTATAGGAAATGTAAACTTTATGTGTGATTAGATTTATATAGACTTTTTACTACATATAGTTATATATGTATGTTTTCATACAGACATATACACTGCTTTTTATCATGATTAGTGCATGTTCATTTGAAAAAGAAAAACAAAATACTGCAGATAAAGATAAAGCAATCACCCAGAGATAATTACAAGTAGCATATAGGTATCTTTCTATGTATGCTATAAAATGAATTAAATTGAATATTTTTTATCTAAATAGTATATATTTTCATGTCAACTAATACATATGTTAATAATTATCTTAAAGAAGATACTCATTGATGAACTCTTCATTTAGTTTGGACCATCAGATCAGTATTTCAGTTTTGGGAATAACATAATGGTCAAGAAAGGGTAACCAGGTCAAGAAGCTAAGAGGCAGAATCCATGGAGATTCCTCAAAACCCTTTATACAGACTGTGTAGAAGTTGTCTGGCCACTGCCATAAGAAAGGTTTGACAGAATAGTTGGTTTTTTAGAGGGGGCTATATAGAAAGGAAGGTGCTACATTCCTTGAAGTCATAATGATAGTGCTGAAAATAAAAAGAGGTTGTGTTTAGTGTCAGAAGAAATTTGACAGAAATTGCAGATAATAGACAGTGGCAGTCACAGCAAAACCAAGGGAAAGAAGAGGTTGCTTATGCCTTGACACTGTGAGGTTGGTGACACCAATGGGTGCTCCAACAGTCTTTTCCCTGGTTCCCTTTCTAGTGAAAGGTGGCAATCTGGGAGGTCAGGAGGAATGCCTTTACACTGCCTTTCTCCTTTAGGAGAATGTTCTCTCAGAAGGTAATTAACTACCCACCTTTATCACCCACCACCACTTCTTCTCACTGTAAGACACAGTTGTTATGGAAGCACAAAGGGATTATCAAATTGTTCTAGTATGTGTTATTGAAAATGTCAATATGTAATTATAAAGGAAAAATATTACATTTCTAATAAGTTATATCTACTTCTTTTTCAGAAATAGATGACAAAAGGATGACCAACACACAAGGAGAAGTAAGTTCCCCATCATTTTGAATAAATGAGTTCAAATCAAAAACATAATTAGCTTGATTTGATATGATATAAAATATATAAATATAACTGTGGTATAAAAATTAGTCTTTTACTAATTGAGTAGTAAAATGGTTATTGAAATCTCTACCTTGCAGTTAGTTTGATTACTTATGAAATGCTAAGCCATACAAAACTTCTAAAATAAAGCATTGGTTTTAATAGTAAGATATAGTATTAATGATTTCAATTTAATGAGTGGTTATATGTGAGCACCACAGACTTAGGACAGGCAATGTTGGAATCCTTGAGCAAAGATAGGGGGTCTGTGGAGCCAAAGCCAGAGTTTGGGGAGAATGAAATCCTCAAAAGCATGGGTCACCAGAACTAAAAATTCACCAAGTAACATATTCAGATGCAAATTCTGCAGTTAGTTGAAACAGTGTCATCTTTTAACCCCCGTGTACACATGAGGAGTTAATATAGAATATGTAAGATACAAAGGGAGTAACTTTGTACCCAGAAATAGCAGGACTATCAGAATAGGATGCTGGTGGTCTTAATGATCAATTCCCACATCTTGTAAGAAAGCATGCAATACCTAAAGAGGAAAATGCAGAAACAAATACCAAATAATATCTTATAAGATTTTTAAAAAATTTAGTGAGACAGTAAATGCACAATTGCTTTGAAAATTAAGCTCTTATATAAATATAGTTTTTATTACTTAAGTTTTACCATTGTGTTACTAAGCCACAAAAAGGTGCTTCTGTAGAATTAATTTCCTACTTTATCTTTGAATATGTGTATGGAAAAAGATTTATAAGAAATCCCACAGGTGATTGCATCTCAAAATCAATCCGACATGTAAAACAATAGAAGTGCCCCAGAAATGTCAATCATCCACACATTTGACGCTAATGTAGAGTCACTCTGCCTGCACCTGTGCATAATAGACGGGTATCAAAGCCTTCTATGCTGAAGAAATTTGTTTGTAATGGGCTGGGGTGTAGCTCCATGGCAGAGTGCCTGCTTGAATTTTTGCTTTTTAATAGGTTTCTTTTGCATTAGGTAATTTGCTAGTTAGCTTTCTCATCACTGTAACAAAATGCCTGACGTAAACAATTTAAAGAATGAAAGATTAACTTTCAGTTTCAGAGGGCTTCATGCATTGTTGCTTGGACCCATGCACTTGAGTAGAGCATCATGGTGGCAGGAGGGTGTGACAGAAAAGGTTCTTCTTTTCCTGGCAGAGAAGGAGAGAGGGGGATGGGCAGGGATCATATACTCCCAAGGACCTGCCCCCAGTGACCTACTTTCTCCTAAAGGTTCCATCACCTTCTAAAATAATGCTAGCAGCTGAAGACCAAGTCCCCAGCATATGAGCCACTAGGAGACATTTCATAGTCAAAGCATTATAGGTAAATATCAACACTGTGATGGTGACTTTGAGTGCAATGGAGCTTTACTTTGTAAAAAGAAAGATGTCTGAGTTCAATTTGTAACTTTATGAAGCAGTTCCTAATTCTCTCAAACTTTGAACATTATGTTCTAGACAATATGCAAAGAAAGCATCAAGCAGTCCTTCCAATGTGTCTTCTAACTACTTATACTTGAGCTTGTCTAAGTAAAATTAATTGTTCCACAGACGAACTCATTGATTAAAACCCCCAACCTTGGCACACTAAAATATAAATCAATGTGCTATTAGAAAGGAACCTTTGTGTCATAATCTGATTGACTATATACATCATTTGTTAGAATAAATAACATTCATATCTAATAGGTATACGTAATGTATATATATGCATAATATATGTTTATGTATTTCTATATTATTATGGAATTGTGGTTTTGACCCTATTTTATCATTTGTTCCTATTTTATCATTTTAAAATTAAAAGAAAATGATTATTGTCTTTTTTTTCTCATGAGAAAATAAGAAGAGTAATTCAAGTCCACAATTGATAAAAAAATACTTTTATAAAATATATGTCTTATAAGCCTGTGATGTCACTGTATATAATCTCTCATTAATTAAGAGTTATAGTTTTCAATGAGGGACATCAGAAAGTTCTTTGGAACATGGTAGAGTGTTTATTTCCCTTGCAGTTCTGAGGGTCTATCCTTCTTATCCACATCTAACACCTTTACTCTTTCCTTTTGTCCACAGTCACAGAATGCATCCCCTAAGCAAAGGAAGCAGAGTGTGTATACACCACCCACCATGAAAGGTACTGTTCAGGTACTATTACAGGGTGTCATGAGTAATGAGTCACAACTGGTAGGCTGTCTGCTCTCAAGGACCATCCATTTGATCATAAGAAAGAGTTCATTTCAGTTCCATGACCCAGTAGTATGTTTAAAGCTTGGTTTCAACAAGAGTAAAATAGGTGGTTGAAGAAGCAATAACTAGGGTTCTCAAAAACTTTGTCTGAAAATTCAGTTTCTGAAATAATGACAAAGATTTTTCTTTTATTTCCTCACATATTTTCTCAGAGGTGATTTTTCCATAAGTTCTAATTACTCTTATCAATGTTGGCAGATGGTTGTCAATCTTTTCTTGGCTTAAACAAGGTACAATAACTTGACTTTCAGTGGGGGAAGGCAAATTTCATGCAAAATGTTGTCTCATTGCCTTGTGTTAGGAAGAACTCTATGAAGCCCAATCAGACAGCTATTTGTTATATTTGTAGCAGCTGTTGAAATACACCAAGAATGTTAATTCTGATTCTGGCACTTCCCAGAATTCTGCCTCAAATTGGAACTGCTAAAATATCATCTAAGAGTATCCTCATTTTGACCAGCACCAGTTCCAGGGAAGGCTTCTTTTATTTCTCACCCAAAAATGTTTCTGACACGAGGCAGAGTCTATTTAATCTAGTAGCTCTTGTTCCAGTCTGGTGCTAGGGCTGTTGGTTCAGTGGTTCCTTGTGCCATCTTCCAGCTCTCAACTGCATGAGAAGCCAGCTGAGCAGCTTTCTCTGGAGTCTGGAAGAATTTCTAAATTAGGAGTGAAATTTTCCACTCTGTATTCTCTCTAGATTTGAGGACTTTTTAGGGAGGTGGGATATAAACGGACTCATTAAATAGCTACTTACAGCAAACTTCCTTCCTGTGCAGTTATAAAATGTCATGTTTGCTTATGTGTAAGACTGTAGTAAATAATGCAATCATCAACGTTATAGTTCATTCCAAGGATTGAGACTACTGAGCATTCCTGTCTGAAGATAAATGTAATTATTCTAAATGTATTTCCCCATTAAAAGTAATTTTATGTTTTCAAGGCACATTGGTTTTGTCATGAATGGGCAACAATGAAAGATATATGTTCACTCATTTATTTCCTCTGTTCTATTTGGGAGTAGGTTAAGCTAAAAAAAGTAACACTGTCCTAATGTCCTTTGAGAATAACAGCATTATTTTAAAAGGAAAATCTTAAATTCAAAGCCCTAAGGGTCCCTGTTATTCCCTATATTTCACTCTCAAGTATGCTAAGAACATGGAATCCTAGCATTTAGGATCACACGTTTTTCATATAACCTTATACTATCAAGCCCTAACCCCATGACTGTCCTTTAATGTCAATCATTTGTGGTCATGAGTTAAAGGCTTAAGAAAGCACAGCAGTTCTCAAGAAGCTATCAGGGTGTTGGTACAAGTCATTTAGGTCCTCATTTATAATCAGTAAATGTTTTCATGAATCTTCAGCTTTTGATGAAAATAAAAAGAAAGCCAAATCCACGTTTTACTTAGTCTATCTGTCCCTAAGAGCTAGAAATCAGTATTTCAAGACAAACTTAAGCAATAGTAACATATGGTACATTGTGAGTACACTAAGAAGATTCAATCATAAGAAAGATGACTGAACAAAGAAATGCTAAACACAGTAATACAATCATTCTGAAATGCATTCTTCAAATTTTGGTGAAACATGCAATTATTGAGAGCAAAAAAAAAAATTGCTGGGAGAACAGCAACATATGTGATTAAAAGTTCTGAAAAAATTCACTCTAACAAAAAGTCAACGAGGGCTTCATGAGGGATCTGGTGAGTAACCAGCTAGTAAAACAAGACAAACTGGACATACTCCTTCTCTCATACCCAGTTGAAAGGTGTTACTGGATATAGAGGTCAAGTTCAGGAGAGATGCTGCATCCTACCTATGCATTTCACATTATTCTGTAAACAGACAACTATCCTGTCTCTTAAGCTCATTTATTTTCTGCATTTTTAGTTACTGTGGTACTTATAGCTACCAGGTTTTAGAAAACAAGGACATGTCTAGGTTACATGGGGCATATCTTGTGATGAGGGGAGGGTTTTTATATGAAGTTACAAAAAGGAAGAAATAAAGCAGAGCTTCCTGTGTGCTATTTTAACAGGCTCCAGGTCAGGAATCAAATTCTTATCTTTAGTCTTAATAAAGCTCCTGAACTTCTGTCTCCCATTTGCAACTATCTACTGAATTTCTTCTCAAATTTAATATGTCCCTAACCAAGCTCATTGATTTTTTCCTCTTGGTTTTCCACATCTCAGTAAATTGTTTATACCTGTTGAGATTAAACACACACAAACACACACACACACACACACACACACACACACACACCCCAGAAATCCTTGCATAATCCTTACCACTTTCTTGCTCTTACTACTTACATTGCTCTTGGCAGTTCTATTTTCAAAATGCATTCCTCTGCAGACCACTTTCCTCCTCTTCCACTGTTACCTTGTTCCAACCACAATTCTGTTTTCCTAGGTCTACTCAAACAGCCTTTTGACTGGTTTTTCTGCTTCTGCTGTTGTCCCTCTACTATCCTGTCTCCACACAATTCAGTGTACAGTAATTCAACCTCAACTCCCTTTATGCCGCCTTTGTTCATGGAGGTTCATCCTCAGGCCAAATGTACTTCTCTTTCAAAGCATTTGTATTTTCTATTTTCTGTGCCTTAAATACTCTTTCCTCAGTTGTTTCACAGGATTCTTGGCTAATGTCATCCATCTTTTCAAAGAGGTCTTCCTTTCCTGACTAGCCTGTCCAACACAGAAATTTCCTCTTCTATCATCACTGCATCCTTATTTTGTTCCATAGCACTCCTCATGAGATGTTTTTATAACAGCTTTTTTCTTTTCACTATTGTCACCAACTGTAACAATTTCAACATTATTTGTTGAAAAACTGAACTGTAATGAGCTGGACAATCTAGTCACATAGTCATCCATTTGAAAATAGGTATCAATTGAGCCTTGTTCTACTGACGTTCATACTTGTGGCTCTGCTAGATTTCTTCGATTCTCTCTCTTGCCAGTTCTTTCCCTACTCTTGTATTCTTATATATTTATATGCTTCTTTTTTCTGTTTTTAGTTCCTCCCCCATTCTTCTTTCTTCAGCTCAAAGACAAAGTGAGAAAATCCAATAAAGTGAATTTGTTGCTGCTGTGATTTGGATGTGTCCCACCAATGACTATGTGTTAAAGGCCTCCATACTGGGAAGTGGTGGAACCTCTGAGAGTTGAGGCCTAATGGAAAGAGTTTAGGTTATGGGGGGCATACCCTTGAAGGGGATTGTGCTTTGGTCCCTTCTTCTCTCTCTCCTTTGCTCCTCACCACGAAGACAGCAGTTTTGTCTCACCCCATTCTGGACCCAAAGCAAACAAGTCAACTAATCATGGGTCAGAACTTCCAAAACTGTAAGCCAAATAAATCTTTTCTCTTTATAAATTATCTCAAGGATTTTATTGTAGTGATGGAAAGCTGACTAACATAGTTACAATCCAGAATTGTGTGTCAGAATTTTCTTAAGAAAGTTTACCTTGTGGACCACTAGAATCAGTGGATTGTTGTTTTGGGCTAGTGTCTGGTTCTTGGGTCAATTATGTGCTACAAATATGCCAACGTAAGTAGAAAGATCTGGTTATGGGTTTCTTTCTGCAGAGGGATCTCATGGAATACCCAGCACATTTACCCTTAGAAAGTAATAATAGTTTTAACATTTGGTCTTCCCACCTTCTATTTATAACATTATAGGTACTCCAAGTAGGAAAGGAGCTTAACAAGAATTAGTATAATTATCCAATGATGACCAAATTTTTTCCACTGCTTCTGACCTCAGGGTGCTGAACTGAACATATTCTGTTGAAGATTCTAATATACTAAGCTTGGAGTTGGGCCAGGTAATCAAAACTTCCAGGTGTTTCTGTTTTCACAAGTCTAAAGATTGATCAGATTCTGATATCCAATCACTTACTTAACCTTACTAATATCATAGATACCTTATGGAGATCATGAGATCAAAATTACCACGTTCAGAACTGACCTTTTGATGTTTTTCTCATCAAATCAATTTCTCCTCTACCATTCCTTTTCACATGATGTGGAATTTTCATCTAACTGAGTTCTGGGGGTCTCCAATGACCCCTCCCTCTCTTCTTCTTCATCACAGTTCAGCACCAAGTCTTCTGGATGGGAATCCCTTAGAATTTCTCCCATCTACCTTCTATCATCTCTACCACCATTGCGTCTTAAGTCACACTTTTATCTTTTCCAGGATATAATTGTTTACCTATCATGTAGTCTTTCCCCTCTTACCACCCATCTGTTTCTACATTGTAGCCAAAGTGAACTTCTGAAAACACAAAAGTGATTATGCTACTTCTTTGACTATAATCCTCAAATAGGCTCCCCATGGCCCACTCATTAGATTCTATTCACACTGGTATTTCCTGAATCAGGAACTAGCTAGAAAATATTCTTTCTTTGACCTGGAACAATCTTTCTGTCTGTTTGCTCATTCCTCACCTCATCACTCCCACATTCATGCCCTGACTTTAAAGATCAAGGGCAAACACAACAAGGGGATTGGACTTTGATCACATGAAGAGCGAAGAGCACACAAGGGAGGGGTGAGGATAGGTAAGACACCTAAGAAACTAGACGGCATTTGTTGCCCTCAACGCAGAGAAACTAAAGCAGATACTTTAAAGCAACTGAGGCCAATAGGAGAAGGGGACCAGGAACTAGAGAAAAGGTTAGTTCAAGAAGAATTAACTTAGAAGGTAACACCCATGCACAGGAAATCAATGTGAGTCAACTCCCTATATAGCTATCCTTATTTCAACTAGCAAAAACCCTTGGTCCTTCCTATTATTGCTTATACTCTGTCTTCAACAAAATTAGAGATAAGGGCAGAATAGTTTCTGCCAGGTAGCGAGGGGGTGGGGGGGAAGAGAG